AAAAAAAAAAAAAAAGCTTTTCACTGAACTAGCAATATTTCTTTTCCTTTTAGCCTGGAAGAGTTGTGACTCTTGTTGAGGATCCTGAGGTATAGTACTTCTTTTTTTGTACGTAATATTTATTCCAAGTATACAGAATGTTCTGCATTTGGGAATTGTTCAGGGCACTATGAATTAGGGATGTAACAGTGTAGCTGTTTAAATGGGTAACCGATGAGCATGAACTTATCAAATACACCAATGATTACACGTGGCTCCTGGGGAGCCAACTGCCGCACCGCACTGTTACCTCTGTATCAGAGGCGGCATCTGGGAGCAGGTACGTGCATGGAGCTGGCTTTTCAGCGATTAAATTGTTAGAAATTACACCAATTGTAACATTCTTACTGGGAATCTGCATTTTTTAATCTTCGTGTAGATAACTGATTATTTTTCTTTCTTCGCTATATGTTCTTAGAATCTGGATCTTTTCTACAAAATTGTACAAATAATGGCTTTCAATTGATCTAATTTATTTAGTCTATAAGCAACTAGAGGGGCTTTGGCTTCAAGATTATAGAAGACAGTTTTAAGCATCTTCCTGAATAGTCATAGTTTAAACTTTTGTTTAAACGGTTTTCCTGCTGTAAAATGTATATAACTTAGAAACTTTAGGTTACACCTCTAAAATCCGGGATTCTTTGGTCCAGCAACATCCGTGGTCTGGCATGACCATGGATGTTCCAGGATCAGAGTCCCGATGCGCTGCAGGGGTGTGGGGGCCCAGGAGCCGGCACATGACTCAGCTAGTCTGTGGGCAGGAGGAACCAGGAGCTGGCACACAGCTCATCTGGGCTGCGATGTGGGGAAGGGCAGGATTCAGCACACAGTTCAGTTGGTCTGCAAGGGGAGCCAGGAAGCCTTGTGTGGGATCCTGCAGGGGAGTCCAGCAGCAGGGGGCCTGAAATGACCTCCCGTGGTCGGGAAAAATCCCTCATCTGGGACCAGTCGGGTCCCGAGGGTTCACAAACAGGGAGGTTCAACTTGTATTACCAGTTTGAGACTGTTCTGATGGAACAGCCAGTATGCTTGCCTCCCTAAAATATAACCTGGGGACATATGTCAAAAATAAGTAATAGTAAATTTTACTTAAACTCTTTGATTAAAAAAATAAGCTGCTGCATATTGTGAGCTTAAACAAATGCTCCGTTTTGGAAATGGTTACAGACCTGATTCTGCTAGCCTTACTCCGGATAGGTATGCTTACTCTGTGAAAAGTCCCATTGAAATATTTGCAGAATAAAACATATGGAACCATGGCAAAAATGGACAAATGTACAGCCTCAGTACAAGATGACTCGTTCTCAAACTGTGGGTTGGACCCCCAAAGTGGGTTGCAGCCCCATTATAATGGGGTGGCTAGGGCTGGCTTGGACTTCCTTTGGCTCCAGGCAAATGCTCGAGTAGTCACCGGGGCCAATATGCTCGAGGCTGAAGTCCAAGAGCTTTAACTCTAAGATTTTCCATCCACAAGCAGAGTGAGTTTTGTCTTGTGCACCAATATTGACAGTGTGTGTGCTTTTTGGATGTGTGCCACTGTGGCACTCACTAGTTACTAACAAAATTACACACACACACACACACACAGTTATGTAAGAAAAAATGCTAACACAACAGATAATTAACAAGGTGCATAACCCTGCACTCACCCTGAAAAACACCCAGCTTGCTGATCCCTGCCTCCAATACACACTGTGTGTGCCCCACTGCCTATGCCCCCATCAGGACCACACACAGCCAGCTGGTGCCTGTATATGCCTGGCTAACTATCTACACCTTCCCCCACACCCTGTAGTTGTGCCTAGTCTTGCAATCTGACACACCCGCCATATGCCACCAGTATATGTACCAGGGCCATGTGTCTGCCCCCAAACACAAACAGCCAGTACCTAGGCCTAGGGCCCACAGCCCTAGCCCCACATATCGCCTGTTTCCCTCCCCATTGTGTACATGTCTCTGAGCAAACCCGCACCTTTCCCTCCAAACCCCAGAATTTACCTGCATCCAGTACCTCCCACCCAGCTGGTGCCTTTGCCCCCCACCCAGCCATCTTCTGTGCCAGGTCCCCGCTGTCCTTGGCCCCTCTGTCTCCCCTTCTGGTACGACCCTGGTACCTGCTTCGCTACTCTCCCAGCTGTGCTCCCACATGGCTTACAGGTCCTCTGACCCTCGCCACCGCAGCAGCCTCCTGCCGCCCGCCACATGGCTGCGCATAGGAGGAAGGGAGGGGGGAGATTTTTTCTGCGCAAACGCAAGCACGCAGCTTAAAGGGAACCCTGGCTAGGTCACAGCCATCTGCTTCCCTCCCAGTGGAAGGCAGGCCAGTCAGACTCAATTATTCATATAGTCGGTAGGGACTTCCCAGCTCCCTTCCCAATGTCCAATGATTCCCCTTTCTCAGAGAGAGAAAAGAAGAAGGGGGGAGGGGAAGACGGGATCACATCCCTGTGTAGCCTTTTGTACCACAGTCCAAGCCTTTCCCTGTGGATCCTGTCCCAGAAGATACTGACTGGCTTCCTGTCTCCTTCACTCTGCCCCTGCTTGATTACATTACAGCTTCATGAGCCTTCCAAGATATGTAAACCCAAAGGCTGCTCCTTTTTCAAAAGGGATTTCCCTCTAATATAATACAGGTTTTTGCTTTAGCACTGCTGCCAGAAAAACATGGTTCCTGGGCTCAATTGAACATTTTCCACTACGCTGAGAAGGATGGAGATGGTAGGCAGATTCTTACCTACTTGACTGTTAAGTCAGTCAGTCATGGAGGAAATGTTTGAGCAAGAGCAATGCTAAAAGAGGAAGGAGAAGCAATAGTCCACTAATAACTTCCCTGAAAAATCCTAGATTTCCATTTATTTTAGAGTAGGAGGATGGGAATTCTCAAATACAACTGAATTAGGGACATGGAGGACACTAAACTATTGAGCAGTGATGTGAGAAGAGGAAGGGAGCTCAATTAAATAAACTCCTTGTAAAGAGCTGAGGTAGCTTTTGTTTTTTAGGTCATATGTGTTAAAACTAGTTGTCACAGTTGGTCTAGGGTGAAATTGATGTGTAGCCAGCATACATAACGTGCTGGGGCTTGAGCAACTTGGAGAGAGCTGGTCTAAACAGGGCTTGTGCCTGAAATAACATTAAAAGTACAGTGAATCTTCAATTATTCAAACAAAAGAAAATACTTGTACCGCTGCCATTTCTCTGAAACGGTAGCAATGAATAGAGGTAAATGTAACAGTAAAAATAAGCTTCAACTGTTTTTGTAGCTGACAAAACAAGTACAATGTAGTACGTGTCCATCAATGACTTTCTGTACCTTTCTGGTAAGTTTTTTTTTTTTTTTAAACACTACAGTACTGTTGGATACCATTATGTTACAGACACTCTCATATAAGCAAAGAATTGTTATGTTTGTTTTTGCTATATTGGTATTGTTTAACTTATTTGTGATTGCAGGAGTCCCAAAGCAAATCACTAGATTTTTTTTTTAAATCTTGATTTATATACAACCCTAAGTTATTTTGAGACTAGTCTCACTGTAGTGAGACTATCAATTACTTCAACAGTTGATTTGTTTAATTCTAAACTCAGCACAAATGACTGTGAAACAAAACAATGAGAAGTAGAGAGGTAACTTTAATTTTAAAATGTTTTACAAACTCCATGCTTTAAAGTCTCAGGAGGTAGCCCGGCTTGTTTTTAAAGTTACAGACAATGAGCAGTTCCGTGACACCTTACATCAGCTTTCATGGTGCAAAACCCATTTCCTCAGATGAGATTCTGCTCATCTGAGAAAGTAGGTTTTGCCCACAAAAGCTCATGGTACTATATATATTTATTTTTGTTAGTCTGTAAGGAGCCACAGGACTACTAGTTGTTTTGGAGAACGGCTTTAACTCTCTCCCTTTGTAGCTCATTGAAAATTATTTTAAAATAGAAAAAACCTGTCCAATTATCCCTTCCTTTAGACATCTGAACCAATGCTCCTCTGTATCCAAAACTCCAAAATGAGAGGGAGACAAAAAGCGAGACTACCCCAAATGCCCAAGATGTTAGGACGGTCACTTGGAATGAGAGAGACCCAAATTCAAATCCCTACTCAGTCCGATTCAAGCCAGAGTCTTAAACTTGAATCCCCCCCATAAAAACACAAGAACAGCCAGACTTGGTCAGACCAAAAATACATCTAGCCCAGTATCCTGTCCTCCAACAGTGGCCAATGTCAGATGCCCCAGAGGGAGTGAATAGAACAGGTAACCATCAAGTGATCCCTCTCCTGTTATCCATTACCAGCCCCTCACAGACAGAGGCTAGGGACACCATTCCTACTCATTCTAGCTAATAAGTATTCCTAGTGAGCACCCTAAGCATGAAACTGTTGGCTGCATCCTGGACCTAAGCCATCTTCATAAAAGGTGGGGGCGGGGGGAGAGACATATATTTCCATTAGAAGTTTTGGTTTTAATGAATCAGCATTTTCCAATTAAAACATTTATTCAGAAAATTCCTATCCAGCTCTGTGGAACAGTTAAACATCCAGATTCTTAGAGATGTTTTAATGCCATTTCTGCAAATGGTGTTGTAGAGTGCTCTGGTATACAGGATTTAGTTCTGAGAAAAGAAAGCCTAAAGTTTAAGATAGCCTTCTTGCTTTGAATTCTATATATCGTGGTACATATTCATTAAAATAAATATATTTTAAAGGATTTGTATCAGAATAAAGCAATATTCAAGGTTTTAGAAAAGAAGTTCAACTTACCTAAATAGAATGATAAAAATTACTTTAAATCTACCACTCCATCCAAGGAATTTATCTATTTTTGTGAGACTGAGAATTAATTTTGTACTCCCTCTGCTGACACTAGCAAACATTTAACAGAAATAAACCTGTGTAGTTAGTGCTCTAAATTTAGATGTAACAACTGGATTAGGGTTCTCAAAGAATTTGGCATAATTAACTTCAACTGAAAGTCCTTAAACAAGAATTTTGATTTCAGCTTTTTCCTAAATAAAGAAGGAAGGCATACTATTTGTAGAAAATGGTCTAACCACAAAATAGGTTTTAAATTAAGTGTGCTAGTGTTCTTGCAGTGTTTGGATTTACATCTTTCTGGTTATGTTCTTCACAGGGTTGTGTATGGGGTGTTGCTTACAGATTGCCTGCAGGACAAGAAGTTGAAGTAAAAGCATACCTCGACTTCAGAGAGAAAGGAGGCTACAGGACTACAACTGTCATTTTTTATCCAAAAGATCCCTCAATAAAACCATTTAATGTATTACTATATATTGGAACTTGTGATAATCCTAACTACCTTGGTCCAGCACCTCTAGAAGACATTGCTGAACAGATTTTTAATGCAGTTGGTCCTAGTGGAAGAAATACAGAATATTTGTTTGAACTTGCCAATTCCATCCGGAACCTCGTACCAGAAGATGTCGATGAGCATCTCTTCTCTCTAGAGAAACTAGTAAAGGAACTCTTGGAAAGAAATCAAAACCTCAATTGCTTATAAAAATCATTTCATAGTTTCAAATAAGCTTCTCCTTTCATCTTCAGAATAATGGTTTCATTGTACAACGGGTATATGATTTGGAGGCATGTTTATCTGTACTACACTATCTTATTTATTTTAATGTTGCATTCAAGACAATGTAGTTAAGGGTCATTAGAAGATTTCATTGTAAAACCATATTTTCAGGAGTTTGTAATAATGGAGGGCAGCAGTGTTTCAGGTTTGAATTTGGTATACAATGTTTGAGCCAAAGAACATATTTTTTCTTTTTTCAAAATTTGAAGAAAGTCAACTTTGGCCCTTTATTTCTTTATTTTTGTTTGAGGGAAGTTTTTTTTTCCTGTGACTTCAGGTTTAAGTTGTTCTAAAAATAGTTGTCTTTAAACTACCTTTAGGACAAAATTCTGCACTCAGACAAAATTCCCATGACTGAAGTGGTGGTTTTCTCTGAGTCAAGACTGCAGGATTGGGTTCTTAATCAGCTAAAAGATAAATGTTTTAAGCAGCTACTGTACATTCACAGTACATGGCAAAACATTTATTATATAAAAGGTTCAACTCCATTAAAACTAAGTTATTCCATTGAATCAATAGTTTTACCTTTAGTAGATCAGTTAGTCATTAGACACAATGGGCAAACAGTTATACTATAAAAAGTTACTCTCCAAGTCAAACCCCTATAAACAAAATATGGTACATTGACACAAATAAGCCATACCATATCAGTGCCTCATTTCTTCTATTTTAAAATTACTGTAAACAAAAGTAAACAAACTGTTAAAGTAACCGAGGATATGACTTGAATCCACAATATAGCAAGAATGTTCCGAAACTCCCATTTTTAAAATCACTGTTTGTCTTCATATGCCAACATAAATCCCACTGGGGAAACAAAAAGGGTATTTTGCAAACTTTTGAGAGCCGAATTAAGCCCAACAGGCCTAACTATTGCAATACAAGGGCATAAGGAGTTTCCGTCCCAACTATGAATTTTCTTGCTTCTCAGAGTTTAAGTTATTTTCTTTAAGCCTTTAACAAAGCATATTTTTGTATTTTAAATATATAAAATGTCCTCATTCAAATGTATGTAGTACCACATCCTACAGCAAGTGTATGTGTGTATATTCAGTCATCACACAAAAACCTGTCTTATTTTTCCATCAAATCTTTTTCCATTATTATGTTTGTGTACACAGGTAGTCTTTTCCTTTCAGTTTTATATTTGTAGCTGACCAAAAATTAAGTCACCAAAATGACTGATTTCTATAGGTGACAAAGTATAATTATAGCAAACACATTTTCAATTGAATTTTACAAAATGACATTTTTAAGTCAGGCACCTCCATAAGTAGGCTGAAATAAACTGTTTCAAATGTATTTTGTGTAATACATCAAAGATTTTGGATTTAAGATCAGGATTGTCATTTCAGTCACCATATTTCTAACACCTATCAAAGGACTGTGGATCTAGGAAAAAAAGTTTACCTGTTAAACTTTCAGAAGCTACTAGTGACATAACAAAAGTAGAGGTTAATGCTTGAAGTCCACTGTATTAGGAGTATAAAAGATATCAAACTTGGTGGACCAGTCTAAATCAGATGAACAGGGTATTTGCCTCATATTGAGGACCTATTCTCATATTAATGCTTAAGTTATTTGCTAGCTTATGAGAAATGGATCCTATTGGCTTCAAAAGTCTTTATTTTCCACTATGTTACACTGATGCAAGGAAGAATCAGTCCCAGTAAATACAGCTAAACAGTAGGATACAGGGTCAGAATATTCAGACTTCAGTAGCTAATTTTAGCAAACTAAATAAGTGACCAAATGTTAAAAAGTGATGAGAACATAAATCTCTGCTAACTCCAACGGGAGCCTCTGAAAAATCTAGTCACTTCTGGTGTAGGAAGATGTAGGTATAGGACTTTAGGCATCAAAGTTTTTGAAAATATTTGCCTACATCAATGTATCAAGATCCTTTAAAGATGTTATTCCCATTGACGTGAAGAATAACTGCAAAGTGTTAATTGGATACTTCGGTTTCATAGAAATGTTACATATAGCACTCTTTAAAGAGTATGTAAACACTGCAGAGCAATTTTTGTTTTCCAAAAAGGCCAGCATTTCTCGTTCTGCATATATCTGGGCTTTGAATACACAGTTGTAAAATGTAAAGTGTACATCAGATGGAGTTGTAAAATTATGTATTTTCATTAGTTTTTCTCACTTCAGTCAAAGGCTTATTTTTGTTTGTCAAGAGATTGAAGGGGAAGTGTATAAACCCCTTTATCAGTTCAATAATTCCCTAATTGCATCAATGATAATATGCTTATTTAAACACTAGTGCCGGGGCATTGGGATCCTGTATGGCTCTAAGTTTGGTAATTCTATTCATATCCAAAATACTGTTGGTTCAATCTCTTTTCCAGATTCATAACAGTTGCAATAATACCTGTAATAATACATTCCATTTTGTGCATATAACTTCAGTACAATAAAATGCATCGTGTATTTAATGGTGTTGACGATTTTCAGAAACTTTATCTAGGTATTTTAGAATAGAATGAACCAAGAGGGACATTTTCAAAATACCTGATTAGGATAATAAATGCCTTAGTTAGGATATTTACTTCCTTTTGTGATGCATTTTGAGAGCTTTCCAGAGAAAGGGTTATGTAAGAGCTAGATGTTATTATATTCATAGAAAATAGTCTGATGTGTCCACATCTCAGTTAGTTAAAACACTTTTCCCTTTCTGTATGGGAGTCAAAAAAACAAATTTAGTGTTAAGAGTATCTTCTTTGTGCCTCTCAAAATCAGGTGTAGTACTTGGACCTGAATATGCCATCAGGTCAGACCACAAGCCATTCTATGTACATCTTCTATACATTAGATGCTTGTTATTTTCTTCCTTTTAGTTAGTATTGTGCCTAATCTGTGAGATGAAATTAGAGATTCTAATCCTATCCTAAATATATTTACCGAAAAGAAAAAACCCAACCACTAATCTACCTCTAAACTTCTTTCCAAAAATATGGAGAGAGAGTATAAAGGTCTAAGTGTTAGATTTTTAATTTCTGGCATCACATGTTCAAATCCCAAAATGGTCACCTAAACCATTCATGCCCGCGAAAGTGCTTAAACAAATATTGTGCAGTTTGTGAAGTACATCTTATCTGATGTGGTCCTCTAGTAAGAGGAGCTGGATTTATAGTAGGTCAAGACATGCATTCTCCTAGTGTTGTATGGAGGACGCCTAAAATAAAAGGTGCTATACAAATGATTTTTGTAAAAATTCAAATAAGCATAAGAACAGTACTGATAACAGAACTCATCTTTATTTGTGCTGCAAACTGAAGTAAAGCTAGAAGGCAGCCTGTTACAAACAAAAAACAGGACTGTGTAGCACTTTAAAGACTAACAAGATGGTTTAATAGGTGATGAGCTTTCGTGGACCACACCCACTTCCTCAGATCAAATAGTGGAAGAAAATTGTCACAACCATATATACCAAAGGATACAAAAAAAAAAATGAACACATGAAAAGGACAAATCAAATTTCAGAACAGAAGGGGGATGGAGGAGGGGGAGGTAAATGTCTGTGAGCTAGTGATATTAGAGGTGATAATTGGGGAAGCTATCTTTGTAATGGGTAAGATAATTAGCATCTTTATTCAAATTTGAGTGTAAAGTGTCGAATTTAAGTATGAATGACAGTTCAGAGGATTCTCTTTGAAGTGAAGTCTTAAAAGGTCTTTGAAGCAGGATGCAGGTAATCAAGTCATTGAGACAATGTCCTTTCTGGTTGAAATGGCAAGAAACTGTTTTTTCTTTGTGATCCTGTCTGGTATCTGTGTTGTGGGCATTGATCCTTTGGCGAAGTGTGAGAGACGTTTGTCCAATGTACATAGCAGATGGACACTTTCGGCACATGACTGCATAAATTATATTTCTGGATGCGCAGGAATATGTGTTCTTGATCTTATAACTCACTTGGTTGGGTCCAATAATGGTATCAGCAGAGTGAATACGTGGACAAAGCTGGCAACGGGGTTTGTTTCAAGGAAGGTACCAGGGTTGGTATTAGTGTGGTATGTCCTGAGGTTGTTGGTAAGAATCATCTTGAAGTTAGGTGGTTGTCTATAGGAGACTATGGGTCTGTCTCCCAGAGCGTCTTGGACTTCAGTATCCTGTTCCAGTATAGGCTGTAGTTTATTGATAATGTGTTGATAAAGCTGCACCAGACTAACACGGCTACATTTCTACCACTGTTATAAAGAAGTGAGCCTTTTCTATTCCTGAAATTCTTTACATCCAGGGGAACATTTTTAGTGATCTTGTTAAAGACAGTTATTAAAATGTATAATTACAGCAACAACATGACTATGCAATCTAAATCTTTAACTTGAAACTGCAATATAATATTTTTTTCATACCCTTATTAACTCTTAACAGAGAGGTACCTCACATCTACCTTTGTTGGTATCTAATGTAAACCAGAAACTTTTACAAGTAAACTATAGCAATTTGTCTGCTTGTTATGAGAAAATATGAAAAAGCAGGGAAGATCTGAAGTTATGAGATTCTTTGTACTTCCCTAATAACTAATTCATTTTCTTGCTTTCGTCTTTCAACTTCTTCTCTGCCTCACATTTCCAGGAGATGAACAAGAAACAAAGCAAGTGAGCAACTAAAGGTATGTCTACACTGAATTCTGTTTCGAGAGAGGAATGCAAATGCAGCCGAGCGAAACTGCAAATGAAGTGCGGATTTGAATTTCTCATGCTTCATTTGCATAATCACATCTGGCTGCTATTTCGAAATACCCTATTTCGAAATTTAAAAATGCCATGTAGATGCAGTTATTTTGAAAGAAACCCCTTCTTTCGAAATAACCATTAAACCTCATTTTTTAAGAAGCGTTATTTCAAAAAAAGGGGGTTCTTTCAAAATAACCGCATCTATATGGCATGTTTTATCTCGAAATAGGGCATTTCGAAATAGCAGCCGGACGCAATTATGCAAATGGAGCACGGGAAATTCAAATCCGTGCTTCATTTTCAATTTCGCTCGGCTGCATTTTCATTCCCCTCTCGAAACAGGAATTCGGTGTAGACATACCTTTAGTTGCTCACTTATTTTGTATCTGCTTTGCATTCCTCTCTTGAAAGACGAAAGCAATGTAGACATACCCTAACTGAAGAGATAGTGAAGTCATTAGGACAGTGTTTCTCAAACTGTGGGTCACGACCCCAAGCGGGGGGTTGCAGCTAGATTCAGTTTTTCACTTGCGATCCCTCTCTCCTGGGTCTTGAAGAGTAGCAGGGAAGCAGAAAGCAGCCGCCGGCAGGTCGCGCAGTGTGGCCGGGGCTGCGGAACTCCAGGAGCACGGCTCAGCTGCAGCAGGAGGTAAGGTGGCAGGAGAGTTGCACCAGCGCGGACACACAAGGGGCCAGCTGGGGCATGGTTGCCGGGCGACCAAACGCTTCCCCAGCAGGGAGAGAGTGGGCTTCCTCAGGCAGCAGGCTGGGGGACTGAGTTGAGGCAGAGGACCCAGAGGTAAATAAGGACACATGGGGTCAGAGGAGGAGGCAGAGGAGAGAGAGAAGGAACCAAAGGGATGCGGAGCAGAAAAGAAGCACAGAGGAGAAAGACAGG